CCTCTAGGATTACAGGTGTGACAAAATTTTACGTCTTGAGAGCTTGTCTGGAGGTTCTAGCAGGGGAGCACAGCTACTCATATAACCTTGACCAAAGAACAGTCCTCCTCTATCAGGGAAGGTCATCTTCTTTGACCCAGCACACAGCTTTTGGAGGGATGCACATGGAGCAGTGAAGGAGGAAGGGACACCCGCTTAGCCAGCCAGATCAGCTGAATCAACCCTGGTGATCAATGGGGTGACAGATGTCACAGCCAGATCGCCCTCACATCCAAAAATTTTACCTCTTTAAAATTATAAAAATAAAGTAATTCAGTGTCCAAAACCTCTTACTGCCAAGTACACATGAGGCCTGGGATTTAATAGCAAGTACCACAAAAACAAAAACAAATCAAAAATCCTGTTTACACAGAATTTAAGAAAAATTAGAGTGGTAGGGAATGAAAGGATGGACCTCTGGCAACAATATATGGATTTCCCTTCCCCACAATGGTTACCTGTCCGGTAAACCTGACAGCTATTTGCTAAGCATGAAAACTGGGGCACAAGAAAAGCCCATCTCAAAACATTAACTTAATCCTAAATAAAGCCCAACTGTGGGTTAAAAAAAAACCCAACCAAAAAATAAAAATTTAAGGAGTTAGGTGGGATGGCACAAGTCTGTAATCCCAATAACTCAGGAGGTTGAAGCAGGATCCCAAGTTGGAGGCAAGCCCAGGGAATTTAGGGAGACACTGTCTCAAAATAAAATGAAAAGGGGTGGAGATGTAGCTTAGTGGTAGAGCACCCCTGAGTTCAATCTCTGGTATCACAAACATCTTGATTTCTTTTTTTATAATTTTTTTTAGTTGTTGATAGGCCTCTTTTTATTTACTTATTTTATTTATATGTGGTGCTGAGAATCGAACCCAGGGCCTCATACATGCTAGGCAAGTGCTCTACCACTATGCCGCACCCCAGCCTGACAACTTGATTTCTTAAAGTATTTTTATTAGGCTTCTGTACTACAATGGCAGAGTTGAGCAGTATCAACAGAAATATTTTTTTCTGGCCCACAAAAGCTAAAATACTTACCCCCTTTCTTGCCCTTTATGGAAAATGTCTGCTGACCTTTGGTCTAGAACACAATATATAATTCCATTGATGTATTTGATGCAATTGCAAAATTATGACAATCTGGGTTCTCAATAGGTTAACCCTAAAAAGTTTTATTTTCATGTATGTATTTATCTACAGCATAAGAATGATAACTGACATGATGCTTAGAATAAGTAAAAACTGCATATAGGGGAAAATATTAGGAGTAGAACAAGTCCTTACCTTGAAGAAAGAAAAAACCCCTTCATATTTGGATTCAGCTATTTCATCTCTGGAAAAAAATTTCAGCTGGAAACTGTTCACATCTATGAAACTTTAGGGAAATTACCTTGTACTGTACTATTTCTCCCGTGCCCCCAAACCTTTATAGGGCCAAGGAATTTGCCCCATTAAAAGCTCCTATTGTGGGGCTGGGATTGTGGCTCAGTGGTAGAGTGCTCGCCTAGCACGGGCGGGACCCGGGTTCGATCCTCAGAATCACATAAAAATAAAGGCATTGTGTTGTGTCCATCTACACCTAAAAAATAATTTTTTTTTAAAGCTCCTACTGTGCCAGGCCAGTGGTACATGGCTGTAATCTCAGCAACTCAGGTGGTTGAGGCAGGATTTCCAGGCCTTGTGTCAAAATAACAAATAAAAAGGGCTGGGGATATGGGTCAGGGGTCAGTGGTTAAGCACCCCTGATACAAATAAAACAAAACAAAAAACAACACTTGTAGAGATGACATATCTTCTTTGGCTTTTTTTTTTTTTTTTTTGGTATTGGGGAATGAACTCAGGGGCGCTTAACCACTGGAGTACATCCCCAGCCCTTTTCTATATTTTATTTAGAGACAGGGTCTCAACTGAGTTGCTTAGCACCTTGCTGTTACTGAGGCTGGCTTTGAACTGGCAATCCTCTTGTCTCAGCCTGCCCAGCTGCTGTGATTACAAGGTGGGTGCCACCTGGCCTGGCCTTTTTTTTTTTTTAATATGAATGATCAATTATAAATCAGGAGCTATCACTTCAAAAATGTAGATATTTGGTCAGGTGCAATGGCACACATCTGTAATCCACACTACTCAGAAGCCACTTGTCAAAAGAAACTAACTTTATTTTTAGGACCACACACGCCAAACAAAACAGCCTCTCAGGAAAAATCCTCAGAGCCTCAACTGCCACCACCGGCTTTCCACAAGCCTGTCTCTCCCCCAGCAAGCTTCTTTCCACCTCCCACAATCCTCCTGCTCTTGAGGCCGATTGGCTGGGTCACGTGGGCAGAGCCAAAAAAGTCCCCCAATGAGCAGCTCCGTGGTCTGAAAGGGCAGGGAAACAGTCCAATGAGCATCACTGCAGAGGAGCCAATCAACTAGATGTTGCTGGGGCCGAGGAGCCAATCAGCTAGATGTTGCTGGGGCTGCTGTGAGCCAATCATCAGCCGGCAGCTGGAAGTTTGCTGGCAGCTGGAAGTTTGCTGGGGCCCCTTCGGCTGTGGCTCTCAACAGCACACATCTGTAATCCACACTACTCCAGAGGCTGAGGCAGGAAGATAACAAGTTCAAAGCCAGTCTGGGCAATTTAGCAAGACCCTGACTCAAAAAAAGGACTGGGAGGGCTGGGATATAGCACAGTTGGTAGAGTGTTTGCCTTGCATGCACAAAGCCCTGGGTTCAATCCCCAGCAACACACACACACACACACACACACACACACACAGACACAAAAGGACTGGGGACACAGCTCTGTGGTAGAATATCTGCTCAGGATGTGTGAGGCCCTGGGTTTTATCCCCAGTACTAAAAACAACAAAAACAACAAAACACTACCACCACCAGTAACAAAAACCCCAATGACAAAGTGAATTTCTGGGTTCTCTCTCTGGGCCTCTATTTCCTTAGAACATCACAGTTGACTTGAGCTGGACACTGGACATCTCATGTCCCAACGAGTTTCGTTTCTAATTTTCTTTATTAAATAGACACTTACCATTGGATCATTTGTTTAGGGTGCGCATATGCTTTATCTGACAGTGAAAAACAGCGGTCTTTTTCATACCTTCCTAATCAACTGCTGGCATCAAGATTTTTAGAATGGCAAAAGGAGACATCTACTGTTAATATAATGGTTCTTTGAACACTTGATAAAGTTGCTGCTTCATTATAACTAGTTAATTGATATCATGCTAATTTATTCTGTTCCTTATGTTTAAACTCATATTTGTATTTTCCTAAAAATAATTTTTTTTGGTTTTCAAATGTTTCTGAAAAAACATTGTATTCAGAATAACAAAGTCTGTATGTTTTTCCCATGAAACAATGCTGTTTGTTTTTTTTTTCTTCATGAGCATCACCAACGTTCTATCTGTAGTTTTTTATACCAGGTATCATATGATGTAGCAAAAAGGAGATTAGTCTAAGTCCTTCCCACATATTATTAACATTTCCCCCATCAACACCCAGGATTATTTCATGTTCAATAGGAAAGAAGTGATCATGGAAAAATTTCTTAACATATTACTCTTACATGGTCTTTAATACACTGCTTAATGGTAAAGTCTTCAGAAAGTTAATATCTTTCAACAAATAATACTGATGACAACAATGAATATAAAAACAATGATTAACATACAGCAAATATGTATTTATTACATGGCAGGCACAATTTTAAGCACCGTGTCTCAACTCATTTAATCCTCGCAAAGTATTATGAGGTAGGTATTATAAATATCTCCATTTTATAATTTCCACTGAGAAATACATCTATAAAAACAGGGCTGGGGGGGCTGGGGTTGTGTCTCAGTGGTAGAGCACTTGCCTGGCATGTGTGAAGCACTGGGTTCGATCCTCAGCACCACATAAAAATGAATAAATTAAACAAAGGTATTGTGTCCAGTCTACAAAAAACAAATAAACAAAACAACAACAACAACAACAAAAACAGGGCTGGGCATGGTGGCACACATCTGTAGTCACAGCCACTTGGAAAACTGAAGCAAGAGTCATTTGAGTCCAGAGTTTAAGCCCAGTCTGGGCAACAGTGACATCTTGACTCTCAAACAGAAACAGTATCAAGGGTAAGTAACAAACTGATAATGACTATTTTTTGGAAAGGGGAATGAATAGAAGGATGGCAGTCAGTGGATATGTTTTCCTTATTTGTAATGTTTGTAAAATTTTTAATAAGCAAAAATATTCATGACTTATTTCTACATTAAAATAAAACACATAGTACAGATATGCCTAGACAGAATTTCCGAGGGACATGCATTTTTGCATGTATCATGGCAAAATAGATGGAGGAAAGTACAATGTCCATTAGTAGGGATTTAATAAGAGATCATAGTAGCACAAGGAAACATCAGGAAAGTGTTTAAAAATCCCTATTTATTGAGTGGAACGTCTTTTATGAATATTTTTACTAAAAGAAATCCTTAATTTTATAAGAGCTAAAAGGAACAAGCCACTTAGGCATGGTGGTATACACCTGTAAATCTCCAACAACTCAGGAGACTAAGGCAGAAGGGTCTCAAGTTCAAAGTCAGCCTCAGCCATTTAGTGAGATCCTGTCTCAAAACAAAAATAAAAAGTGGATGGGGATGTAGTTTAGTGGTAGAGTGCCCTGGGTTTAATCCCCAATACCATTTTTTAAAAAAGTCATCTTCAAAAATAAAAAGGTCACTTCTCTCAGTTATTAGAGATATTTTTTAAAATAAAGGCAGTTTACAAAACATGATGTAAAAACATCTTTATAGTCATATATTTAAGATAGATTAAAATATCAATAATGTAAGAATTATAGAAATAAAGGAAAAAAGAAAATGAAAATCACAGGATTATATAAGTGCATGAATTCTATGATGTATAAGAATATCAGAAAGGTCAAGTGTTTTTTTTTCAATATTTACTAGACTGAATAATCTGAATTCAAATGAAAAATGAATTTTTATTAAAAAGCTTCCAAAATATATTCTATATCTCCAGCATGATTTTTCTTCGACTGAATAAGCTATAGTTAATAAATAAAATGTTTCTACATTCTTATGTATGGAGGGGGTTATCAGAAAGATAAATTCTCTGACAGTCAAAAAGTTTTGAGCCATAATCAAAACCTTCCCACACATTTTGTACATTCTGGTTTATCACCAGTACAGATTTTGATGCTGAATAAGTTGTGAACTATAATTAAAGTTCTTTCCACAGTCCTTGTATTCACAGGTTTTCTCACCAGCATGAATTCTATGATGACTAATAAGTTGTGAACTCTGAGAGTAAGCTTTCCCACAAATCTTACATTCATAGGGTTTCTCACCAGTATGAATTCTCTGATGTCGAGTAAGGTCAGATCCAGAACGAAAAGCTTTTTCACATTCTTTACATTCATAGGGTTTCTCACCTGTGTGGATCCTTTGATGTTTAATAAGTTGTGAACTCTGACTAAAGGCATTGCCACATTCCTTACATTCATAAGGTTTCTCTCCGGTGTGAATTCTCTGATGCTGAGTAAAGTTTGAACTACTGCTAAAGGCTTTCCCACATTCTTTACATTCATAAGGCTTCTCTCCAGTGTGAATTCTGTGATGTCGAGTAAAGTTGGAACCACTACTAAAAGCCTTTCCACATTCCTTACATTCATAGGGTTTCTCACCAGTATGAATCCTGTCATGTCGAGTAAGGTCTGAGCCACAAATAAATGTTTTCCCACATTCTTTACATTCAAAGGGCTTCTTGCCAGTGTGAATTTTCTGATGATGAGCAAGTCTTGAGGGATGTCTAAAGGCCTTGCCACACTCCTTACACTCATGGGGTTTCTCAATGGTATGAATTATTTGATGTGTAGTAAATTCAGAGTCATGTCTAACATTTTTTCTATATTCTTTTGTTGCACAGTATTTTTCTTTATTATTAATAAGTTGCTGTAATGTAAAGGATGGGTGTTGACTAAAAGTGGGCACATCTTCATGGGTGATTATCAGTTCACTGAAGTGCCTGTCCTGAGAGCCATGTTGTTTCTCAAACTGGCCATTACAATCCCAATCATCTGTGAGACTAGAGCACTGAAGGTCATGTCTTGTCAATCTTCCCATTATCTCCCACTGGGCTGATTCTATTTCATAAATTTCTTTCTTCAGAAATAACTTCTTGGTCTCACATGTTGATTCCAGGACTGAAAGAAAACACGAAAGCACTCACTCAACATTTTTATTATTTGGGAAGAATGAAACTTCAATTAAAACGAGTGAATTAAACTGAAGTTTAAAAAAAATGGATGAGAAAAGAAGAAAGGAGGGGGGCTAGGGATGTGACTCAGTGGTAGAGTGCTTGCCTTGCATACTGAGGCACTGGGTTCAATTCTCTGCACTGCATATAAATAAATAAATAAAATAAAGGTCTATCAACAATTTAAAAAAATGAAAAAGAAGACAGTAGGGAGATCACACAGGAATACTGTCAAATATGTGGCACATAGTAGGTAATTAATATTACTGTGGAATAACATTCTCAAATAAGGAAAAGTGCTTGAAATAACATAAAATCATATGGCAATGTATCACACTGAAACTTTTTTTTGATAGAGATATTAAATCTGATCATAATAAAATAGAGGACAGATTAGAAACGAATACTTTTTACCACATTCTCAGTAAGACTAAGAGACATGGCATTGATAAAATAAGCAACTTATTAGAAAAAAATGATGTGAAATACCTACAAGTTAGAGTCATGATAGCTAAAATAAAACCTTAAAACAGACAATAAAAACTATTAGCAGAATAGAAATTGTCGGTGTTTGTCCCTTTGCAGAGACATCAATTTGAACAACTAGACATGTCTGAAAATACCCTCACAATTGCTAGGCAATCAAGATGAAAGATTATAATAGCTGGGTAAAGTTTAGAAATAAGAAAAAAGATACACTGAAGAGGGTAGGAAGACGGTGTTATATTACCCATGTCACCTTTTTGCAAAGCCCAGGCAGTGAAACAGGACAGAGATAACATTTCAGGGAAGGAACAAATTGAGTATCTGACTTTACTGCAGATGGTAACAATAGGTCTGTCCCAGTTAATCCCAGCACCAAATTGGCACAAGGCTTTAAGCCCACATCATTGACAGACTAACTCCTGTGGCCCCAGGTTCTAGCTGACTCACATAGGCCCAGACTCCAGGCCAGTCCAAGTGATAGCCAATCTATGCAGACCAATTAAACAGACCAGCACCCTCGTGGACCCAACTTCCAGGCCCACCCCAGCAATAGACCAGTCCTATGACCCCAGGCTCCAAGCTGGCCCACAAAGACTAATAACTCAGGCCCATTCCCATATAATCAGGTTGCAAGCCTGTCCCCACAAGAACTGCCCACATGTACCCAGGCTCCAAAAACACTCCCATGCTATGGGCTCCCAGGCCTACTCATGTGGAAGCCAGCACCAGGTTAATCCAGGACCCAGGGCCCCCATGTGTCCAAGCTCCAGACTAAACCCAATGGACCCAAATGTCAAAACCACCTCACAGAACCAGGAACCAAACCACATAGACATCATGAAAAAACAAGGGAGGAAGTGCCCCAAACAAATCAAGACACTACAACAATGGAATCCATAGATAGCTCAGTAGGTGAAATGTCAGAGAAGGAGTTCAGAATATAAATAACTGAAATGATTTGAGAATTAAAGAATGACTTAAGTGAGCAGATACAGGAAAAAATCAATCACTCCAATGAAGATACAGGTTGCAAGAGATTACTTCAAGAAAGAGATACAGATACTGAAACAAACAAACAAACAGAAACCCTTGAAATGAAAGAAACAATAAGCCAATTAAAAAACTCAATAGATAACATCAACAAGAGACTAGATCACTTGGAAGACAGGACCTCAGACAATGAAGACAAAATATACAATCTTGAAAATAAATTGACCTCACAGTGAAGATGGTAAGAAACCATGAATAGAATATCCAAGAATTATGGGATACCATCAAAAGATCAAATTTAAGATTTATTGGGAGAGAGGAAGGTTCAGAGATTCAAACCAAAGGAATGCACAATCTTGTCAATGAAATAATATCAGAAAATTCTCCAAGCATGAAGAATGAACTGGAAAATCAAATACAAGAGGCCTATAGGATACCCAAAATACAAAACTACAAAAGATTTACACCAAGACGCATTATAATAAAAATGCCTAGCACACAAAATAAGGATAGAATTTTAAAGGCCTAAAGAGAGAAAAAATCAGATTACCTATAAGGGAAGACCAATTCGGATCTCAGCAGATTTTTCAACCCAGACTCTCAAAGTTAGGAGATCCTAGAACAACATATACCAAGCTCTAAAAGACAATGGATGCCAACTAAGAATCTTAAATAAACAAAAATGACTGGTAATACAATTCAAGTCTCTTTCAAGCCTTTTTGATAAATTTTTACACAAAAATATCTAAGTTTTCAGACTTTTGTTTATTTTGTAGTTTTTTGTTTTCCATTTCTCTTCACAAAGTCCACAAATATTTTCTTTAAAAGTTTTAGCATTTTATACATTATATTTTAATATATAATTAATCTAGTATGTATATATACATTGTCTGTGATATGAGTATATTTTACTCTCTTATAATTAAAAAAAATATTACTCAAGATTCAAGGATGAAAAAGATCAATCAGGGTAAAAATTGTTTAATAAGGTATTTAAAAAGGTAAGGGTAAGATTGAGGGAAACCAACAAATTTTGTGAAGCACCTTTCCTTCTGTAGACTTGGAGAGATAGGAGGTGACATAAGAGAGAGCCATTTTGAAAACCTTGTAGGAGAAGGCCACCTAACTGAAGTTATTCCCACCAAAAGCATGAAGAAACCAACTCACAGTCTAATAGAATCTTATAGGGAAGAATAAAGCACCTCGCTTTACTCTTGTATATTCTAAGTTCATATCTTTGGTGTCCCTTTCGGATGGATCTCAACAAAAAATAACACATAACAAGGGGACTCATCATGCAGTCTACAGCATATCTCTCACCAAAAGGTAAAAGATGGAGAAAGGAGCCATTGGTTACATGAGGCTATTGGGTATTTGAAATGTGTCTAGTCTAAATTGAGGTATGGTATGTGTTAAATAGACATAAGATTCCAAAGAATTACTAAGATAAACAAAATGAACATGAAATATCTTACTAACAATTATTTTCTTAGCAAATTATGTTGGTAATCCATTGGGTTAAAGGAAAATATATTAAAATTAATTTCTCTATTAGTTTAAAAAAAGGAAGTGAAGGAAAACAAGGTAACATATTCTGTATCTTGACTGTAGTACTGTACATCCATATATGTTGTCATTTTTTCATATTTGTGTTGTCAAAATTCATATAACTATAAAACTAAGTAGGGCAAATTATACCATATGTAAATTATATCTCAACAAACATGACAATAAGGGGTTGGGGATGTGGCTCAAGCGGTAACACGCTCGCCTTGGCATGCACGGGGCGCTGGGTTCTATCCTCAGCACCACATAAAAATAAAATAAAGATGTTGTGTCCACCAAAAACTGAAAAATAAATATTAAAAACTCTCTCTCTCTCTTCTCTCTCTATCAAAAAACCAAAAACAACAAAAAAAATGACAATAAAAAGAAATGTAGTTCATGAAGTGTTTTAACAGTATTGGGCACATACTAACCACCTGATAAATAATGGCTATAATTATGATTCATTAAAACAACCAGCATCAGGCTGTTTCATAGTGGGGTAGGGAGGGGGAGCATGGGATGAATACACAAACTCTAGATACGGCAGAGGGGTGGGAGGGGAAGAGAGGGGGCATGGGGTTAGAAATGATGGTGGAATGAGAAAGACATCATTATCCAAAGTACATGTATGAAGATATGAATGGTGTGACTATACCTTGTATATAACCAGAGATATGAAAAAATGGGCTCTATATATGTAATATGAATTGCAATGCATTCCTGTCATATATAATAAATCGGAATAAAAAAATAAGAAAAGAAATGCCAAGAGTTTTTTTTTCCCAAATAGAAACAAAAGGACATTCACAATGTGAAAATACAAAACTCACTATAAAGTAACAAACAGTCATATTTAGAAGACTCTAATAATATACCAGTAGTATATAAATTGCTTTTTTACTCTAGTTAAAAGACAAAAGTATTAAAAATAACTAAGCCAAGTGTAGTGGCATTTACCTGTAGTCCTAACTACTTGAAAGGAGGATCACTTGAACCCAGCCTAGGTAACAAAGTAAGACTCTCAAAAATAAAGAAACAAATGCCAAGCATAATGGCGTACACCTGTAATACCAGCAGCTTGGGAGGCTGAAGAGGATCTCAAGTTCAAAGCCAGTCTCAGCAACTTAGTGAGGCCCTAAGCAACTCAGACCCTGTCTTAAAATAAAAAATAAAAAAGGGCTTGGGAAGGCTGGAGTTGTGGCTCAGTGGTAGAGCACTTGCCTAGCATGTGTGAGGCATTGGGTTCGATCCTCAGCACCACATAAAAATAAATAAAATAAATTTATTGTGTCCACCTACAGCTAACAATAAAAAAAAAAAAAAGGCTGGGGATGTGCTCAGTAATTAAGCATCCCTGGGTTCAATGCTTAGTACCACCCCTCCACAAAAAAAGGGGAGCGAGAGAGCATGCATCCAAGAATTATATGAGAAAAATGCATGTAGAAACTATTAAAATATCTACTCCTTATGGCACACTGTCTCCCATGAGTTTGGCTTCTATCCCCAACTGCTCAACTTACAATTCTTTGCCATACCTTTGTATTCTGTAGACTTCTAGACACTGGGGCACTTAAGGGTGCTGTCATTGCCTTTAATATATACTCATGCCCCTAGGTTATCTCATCCAGTATAATGCGGGGTATTTCTATAGTGAAGGCTCTCCAAATTCTCCAAACCTGATTTGACCTCGACTTATGTATTAAATTGCCTATATGACATTTATGCTATATCCAATTAGTATCTTGAGCTTAACACATACAAACCTGCCCCTGCTTTTGCAACACATGTTAGTAAAACAGTAAATACTGGTTAAAAGTATGATTGAATCAGTAAAGATTTGGAGCTTCTAGATCCAAAATGAAAAATTAGTTAAAGAAAATAAGTATTTGGTTGTGGGAAGCCACTCTGAATGACCCACGCCTTCATCCTGAAGCAAGAGGCTCTGACTGATTACTACATTTCCTGGTGACTTAGGCATTGTACCAGCCTAGGAAATAGAAGGTGTGTCTTCAGGAGCTAAATTCACCTATTCCTTTGTAATACTAACCCTTTGACCTTTGGGAATAGAATGTTCCATGGAAACGCCCTTTGTATGTCCCCTTCTCTTGCTTTGCCTTTGGGTGTGGCCTTCCTAGATGTCAGTCAACCTGCTGACAGCAGATGTCAGGAAGCTAGACTCAACCCCCTGAAACTTGACCCCTTGCCTCATTTGAATGGCTTCTTCTCATTAAAAGGGTTCAGCATGTGCGCTCTCTCTCTCTCTCTCTCTCTCTCTCTCTCTCTCTTTCTGTGGACCCTTAAGGTCAGAGGAGCCGTCACAGGACCCAAAGAAAAAGGTGTTTGTCTTTCTTTGTGTGGTTATTTCACGTAGCCCAGTTCACCTGGAGTGACCCTGAGTATTTTAGTCATGAGGAATGTGACATTTGGCAATGTAGGAAAACATGTATTTCAGGAAACGGTGAGTTTTTACAAGACTAAATACAAGAGGATGAGAAGCTGGGAAGAAACTGGATCCAAAATATGGACAGAAAGGAATATCATTAGACAGGGTGGAAGAGAGTACTGGCTAATGAGCAGAAAAGCAGACAAAATGAGTTATGTAAGGGGAAAAGGTAACCTTCTTTGAAAGCTTATGCATTTGCACAGCTGGACTAAAGATTTTGAGGGGAGCTTCTCAGAGAGCATGTCAAAGAAGCTGTCTCTCCAACTGGATCTTTACCTGCTGTGCCTCACTTACCTGGCCATTGGCCTCTTGTCCACTCTCTGTCAACCAACCAGGGCTCCTTTCCTTGCTCCAAGTAGGAGATCACATTTGGTTTAGAAATGGAATGTCCTGCTTACAAAAGAAATAATAAGACAAATGTAGAATGAGAATTGTCTCAGATTTCAAGTCTAGTCCCTTCACTGTAAAGAAAGACATGACATTATAGGAAGGATCAAAGAAAGGATGTAGGACTCCAACTGGTCTATGAAAGGTAGGAGAACATTTCATACTGGAGGAAACAAACCTTCAAGGGCAGAATCTGAATTATTATGGACAGATGTCCTTACCCATTGAAACCAGGTTGCTGTAATTCTCCAACATCACATCTCTGTATAAATGTCTCTGATCATCAGTCAGGCATTCCCACTCCTCCTGAGAGAAGTCTATGGATACATCACTGAACATCACTGACTCCTGGAACAACAACCATGTATATGACTTGATTAATAAAAAGAAGTGTTTTGTGTAGGAGAAAAAGATTAAGGTAGCAGAAGTGAAATACAATGAGCATATGAATATCTGGGATGCATATAGAGGACTGTAAAAAATAAGCACAACAGGATCATTGTGCTTCCATGTCATTCTATTTTCTCCAGACAAAACTCTCTGTTTAGTGGGTATTTTTATCATCTGAACAAGGGTGGGAAGGTACAAAAATCCAGCCAAGATGAGTATTGTAATTAATGGAATTGTGTTCACAATGCCTTGCATGATACCTGACATACAATAAATCATGAATACTGTGTGATCTTCATTTTCTTCCCCTTCTCTCAAATAGGTAAGAGTAAAATTTCAGAATAAGGGATAAAGACAGAACATTAAAAGCATCCAGAGGATAGCAGGTCATATAAAAGGCATTAAGAATCAGAGGGTCAATGGAATTTTCAAGAACACTCTAAAAGCAAGAAATAATAAGAACAATTCTTCAATATCCTGGGGGAGAAAATAAATTCTGACCTAGAATTCTAAAACCAAACTATCTACTCTGTTCTGAGTATTTAAAAATGACATTTCTAGAGATACAAGGACTCAAATACAATTTCCTAGGAAAACTACTGGAGGATATATTCCACCAAAATGAGGGAGTCAACCTGAAAAAGATGACATGGGATTCAGGAAACAGGTAAAGAACACTAGACAGAGTGTATGGGGGGGGGGGGAATCCAGGGAAAGTGATAAAAGGAAAGTCTTAGGAAAGCTGTGTCACAGGTCTAGAGAATAACCAGATCAGATGGGAGTAGGAGACAATGGAATAGGGAAGAAGTTTCTATGTTCAAAGGGAACTGATGTGTTCCTGTGTTATTGACTGTGGCATGTGGCAACAATACTGGGAATTCTTAGCTATAACACAAACAACTAAACAAGTAGTAGAAGAAACAATTAACCCCAGGGAAAATGAAAGAGTATATTAAAATAAAGCCATGAGATGGCTTGATAGAGAATAATTTTTTCTTTTTTGGTACCAGAGATTGAACTTAGGGACACTCTACCACTGAGCCACATCCCCAATCCTTTTTATTTTTTATTCTGAGATAGGGTCTTGCTAAATTCCTTAGGGTCTCACTAAGTTGCTAAGGCTGGCTTTGAACTTGTGATCCTCTTGCCTCAGCCTCCAGAGCCACTGGGATTACAGGCATGTGCCACTATGCCCAGTGAGAATGATATTTAAAGCCATGATAACATTACAGGCTTTTTTCCTGACTCTGTTTTTCCTTAACAGAGTCAGGAAAAATGAAAGGTAAAATATGGGAATATGATGTCCCTTTTTATTTTGAAGTGAATCGAGGGATCATTAATAAAACAAATTTATCAAAAGACAGCAATTAAACCATATTCAAGAGTTGAAGTTGGGCACAGTGACACATGTCTGTAATCCCAGTGGCTCAGGAGGCTGAGGTAGGAGGATCTCAAGTTCAAAGCCAGTCTCAGCAACTTAGTGAGGCCCTAAGCAACTTAGCAAGACCCTGTCTCTAAATAATATATTAAAAAGGGCTGGGGATGTGTCTCTGTGGGTAAGTGCCCCTGGATTCAATCTCTCATACCAAAGAAACAAATAAACAAACAAAAAGTTAAATGCAGATGGGACAGGACTGGAAGAGTTTTACTTCACTTGAAAACATATGTAAATGGATTTAAAAATATTTTTAGAAAATTAAATTTGCATATAATTTAAGACTAATTCATCCTGATGCTACTATCATAAGAACTGTTACAATAAATGCTTTTTATAAGTATATTTATTTCTCACTGAATAATATTCTATCGTAAGGATATAAATATTAACTTTTTTTGCCTTCAATTAAAAATTTAGGCCAGAAGTGATCTTTAAAGACCTCCTTGACAATGGCTCGATATTAACCATCCACTGTCCAATTTTAATTTCTCACTGAATAATATTCTATTGTAAGGATATAAATATTAACTTTTTTTGCCTTCAATTAAAAATTAACCATCCACTGTCCAATTGTTCCTGAGTTATAGAAAAATGATGGTGGATGATCCAGATTAACATAATGGTATTATCAATTTTTCCCTCCAGTACTGGGGACTGACTCAGAGGCGCTAGACCACTGAGCTACATTCTCAGCCCTTTTTATTTTTTATTTTGAAACAGGGTTTGCTAGGTTGCTGAGGCTGGCCTTGAAATTGTGATCCTCCTGTTTCTACCTCCCAAGTAGCTGGGATAACAACCATGTGCTACCACGTCCCACTTGATATCGGTATCTCATGGACGCATACTGGAGTATTAGAGCTTTAATCAATCAGCAGTTATTTTCCCAAACCTAAAAATCTCATAAACCAGGGGATCTTGCCATGTACTAAGACTGAAGTTGAACAAAACCATTACAAAAATTCTTACTGGAAAACCAAGGTTTGTGGAGATAATTAGTGCTTCTCTCTATGTGCCCTAGTTACTCACTTCTTTCCCATTCAAGTGTCCAGGCAAATTAGATTAATTCAATATGAGGAACATATTTCTGTACTATCAGGATTTGTGGAAGAAGTTGGAGATAGGAAATGCTGGAGCACTTAGTAAGGGAGCATGTAAACATTGTTTTAAAAAGGGGGAAACTGTACCCGGGCACAGTAGTGCACACCTGTAATCCCAGCAGACTGGGAGGCTGAGGCAGGAGGATCATGAGTTCAAAGCTAGCCTCAGCAAAAGCGAGGCACTAAGCAACTCAGTGAGACCCTGTCTCTAAATTTAAAAATATAAAACTGGGCTGGGGATGTGGCTCAGTGATCGAGTGCCCCTGAGTTTAATCCTATTACCCGCCCCCCCCCACTCCCACCCCAGCAAAAGGAGGCAACTATAAAGGGTACTGGATTGTTTAGGAGGAAATGGAGCTCAGCTCCTGAAAGGGGAAACTGATAACCAATGTAAAAAACATTAAACCTGATCTAGGTCAGACTTTTGTTGTTGTTAAAGAGACAGGATTTCACTGTTTCCCAGACTAATCTTGAACTCCTATTCTAAAGTGATCTTCCTGCCTCAGCCTCCCAAGTAGCTGGAACTACAAGCACTTACTACTGCGCCTGGCTTTGGGTCAGACTCTTTTTTTATTTTTTAATATTTATTTTTTAGTTGTAGATGGACACAATATCTTTATTTTATTTTTTGTGGTGCTGAGGATTGAACCCAGAGCCTCGCGTGTGCTAGGCAAGCGCTCTACAGCTGAGCCACAACCCCAACCCAGTCAGACTGTTTTTACATTAAATAATTTTTCAACTAAAAGAATGATGAGGAGTTGGGGTTTTGCACTTCCCACACAGTGTGAGGCCCTGGGTTCGATCTTTGGCACCACATAAAAATAAATAAATAAAAAATACTGTGTCTATCTACAGCTCAAACTATAAAAAGAATGATTGATAAACCATTTTCTGATGAAAATTCCATTTTAAAATTCTGTTTAAGGGGCTGGGATTGTGGCTCAGAGGGAGAGCGCTCGCCTGGCATGCATGAGGCACTGGGTTCAATCCTTAGCATCATATAAAGTAAAATAAAGACATTGTGTTCACTTATAACTAAAAAATAAATATTAAATTTTTTTTAAAAATTCTGATTAAAAGTTCTTTAGAGAAACATGGATGCCTAACAGTTACCTACAACTTAAGAGTATAAAAATTAAACAAGATTATGTAGCCATTTCTTTTTTCTATAACTATTACCAACAATGGAAAAAATTTTAAACTGGCCTACTAAAGACCCTTTCTTTTATAGAAGAGTAAGAACACTTTGGCACTACTTACAATGAGACTGTCTAAAAGGAGTTTTTAAAAAACAATAAAAAGCACCAAGATAAGAAAGCAAATGTTCCTATGTGCTAGAGGTAAAAACGTTTCTATCTGAGCAACAGGAAATAGCATCTCACCTGAGCCATGGCTTTGATATTTGTTGAAAGACCTCTGGGTTCCTCTTTTGGAAAGCGGTAGAGCTGGGAAAGGCAAAAGGAGAGACATGAGATCCCACTTGCCTCAAAGCTCCCAGAATGATAATCTCCCCTCTATTCACCCCACACAAACATTTGAGAGCTATCAATGAGAAGAATGGGCAAATCTCCTATCACCCCCAACTCCCAAGAGACAGTTATATTTGGACTCCAACAGGAGGATTTCAGCAAGATAAAGATGGCCTAAAGAATATATGTTTGTGTACATGCAAACATACACATATACAAGGATATAAAATTATTTTTCTCTAATTGTAGTATATTATACATACTATTATAGACATTGCTATTTTTACTGGTTGGAATTCATATATCTTAAAATGAATCCCAATCAGTACATATTATGATATGTAATTGTCTTCATAATCACATTGCATTTCATTGAATAAACATATCTCAATTTTTCAACTCATCTGTAGTCAATGATCCTTTGGTTATTTCCAGTCTTTCACTATAATAAACAATGCTATAATATATATCCTGTGTGTGTATCATTTTACTTGTATCCTATGTAAATTCTGAATGGTTAATTACTTAAAGTAAGTCAACAGTTTTCAACTGTCATGTGTAACTAATTAAAACAAATTAAAAAACTAATAAAAAATAAATACACATTAAAAAAAACAGTTTTCAGTAAGCTTGGTTAGTATGATTAGGTCCCAAGTCCTAACAAGAAAAAATAATCCTACATAGTTTAAGAGGATTTGCGGGATAACAGGTCTTGATTTAAGATAATTGAAACCCATAGGGCTGGGGATACAGCTCAGTTGGTAGAGTGCTTGCCTTGCATGCACAAAGCCCTGGGTTTAATCCCTAGCACCACACACACACACACTCACGATAATTGAAACCCAGAAAAGCAAACAAAATAATATTGCTGACCCAAAAGTCCCATATCTTCTGCCAACGTCTGTGAAACTGTGTCATACTAACTTGTTAGCTGACATGCAGGGTCAAATTTCAGATACTCTACTGTTCTTGACAGAAACTTGTGATTTTTAAATTGGAATTGAAGGTATGGGTTTGAATTTGTAGTTTTTTTTTTTTTTTAAGAGAGAGAGAGAGAGAGAATTTTTTAAATATTTTTAGTTTTCGGTAGACACAACATTTTTGTTTGTATGTGGTGCTGAGGATCAAACCCAGGCCACACGCATGCCAGGCGAGCGCGCTACCACTTGAGCCATATCCCCAGCCCGAATCTGTAGTTTTAAAATATATAAACAGCCGGGTGTGGTGGTACATGCCTATAATCCCAGAAGTTCAGGAGGCTGAGGTAGGAGGATCATGGCCAGCCCCAGTAACTTAACTAGGTCTTAAGCAATTTAGCAGAGACCTTGTATCAAAAAGAACAACAAAGCCAGGCATGGAAGCACATGCCTGTAATCCCAGAGGCTCAGGAGGCTGAGGCAGAAGGATTACAAGTTCAAAGCCAGCCTCAGCAAAAGCAAGGTGCTAAGCAATTCAGTGAGACCCTGTCTCTAAATAAAATACAAAACAAGGGCTGGGGATGTGGCTCAGGTGGTTGAGTGCCTCTGAATTCAATCCCTGGTACAACTTCCCTTCCACCCGCCAAAAAAGAAGAATAAAAAGGGATCAGTGGTAAAGTGCTCTAGGTTTAAATCTCTAGAACAAGAACAACAAATACATATATAATGTGCAAACATATATATGTATACCAGATATAAATGCATGTAGCAAAATTTATATATATATATATATATATATATATATATAATATATATATATATATATCTTTCTGATGACTGAAATCCAGCAGTGGCACACCAAGTGCCCAGATCTTGGTTTATAAATTCATTCTCCGATAAAAGAAACTAGGGGTCCGTGAAGAAATTGCTGATTTCAGGGCTGGAAGAGGGAAAATACCAGGTAAGTTATGAATAGTGAATGGTGCTAGAAAGTAAGATGCTCATTTTTAAAAAATGCATTGAAAGGACACAGGATCAAACTTAAGTAACTCCTAATGGCCAAAATGGGCTAAACTCTGGGCAGCAAAATGAATAATGATAATAATGGAATAAAACTCATAGAATAAAATAAAATATATATCTAAGAGTCCATAAATAATTAAATATACATGAGGAAGAGACAGTCCTTCCTTATAGTAAAATTCAGATTAAATGTAGGACTGATAGAAATCACCATTAGTCAAATATCATGGTGTTCTTATAGATAAGATTCATAAATTGAGGATAAAATTAATAGGCAAAAACATTATGAGAAATAAGATTTTTGCACAGTCCTGAAGTGTCTGTCTCCCCACAAGATATTACTTAAGACAATGGGAATAGCAGTGATTTTATCAAGTGATCAAAGAAACACTTTTTAAAATTTTTTTTTAAAACACTAATTTTAAAAATTGTGTTGGGCCCAATACCTTTATTTTATTTGTTTATTTTTATGTGGTGCTTAAGATCGAACCCAGTGCTTTACATGTCCTAGGCAAGCGCTCTACCGCTGAGCCACAACCCCAGCCCCAAGAAACACTATTAATACCAAAATATAATATCACATAACTCTGATACAACACATTGAGAAGAACACCACCATTTCAGTGATCTTTTGCCAAAAATGCATAGTCTTAAGTTTAACCATGAGGAAATATGAAGGATGAGCCTAAATTGAAAAAAGCATCCCATTAGAAGGATGAAAACAATTCAATCTGCTGTTGTCTTGAAGATGAAGGGGACCATATCAAGGAAATGGGAACCTTGGTCCTAGAACCTCTAGGACCTAAATTCTTCTAACAACCTGGATGAACTTGAAAACAAACCTTCCCAAGAGCCTCCGAATGAGAGGACAGTCCAACTGATACCTTGATTTTAGTAGGGAGGCTCTGAGTAGAAGACTCAAGTGATGAATGCTGTGCCCACTGACTTTAGACCCATGGTAATTATTTGTAGTAGCAATAGAAAACAATTCCTGTATTATATTTAAAGTCTTTACTGTTTAGGGTGTTTTCATTTTGATTTTTCTGTTATTTATAACTGAAAGAGAAATTATGTATACTTATGTATAGCCTTCCCCTAAAAATTAGAACTTTCTTTTTTTTTGGTACCAGGGATTGAACTCAGGGGCACTTAACCAGTGAGCCACTTCCCCTGCCCTTTTTATGTTTTATTTTGAGACAAGGCCTTGCTAAGTTGCTTAGGGCCTTGCTAAATTGCCAAAGCTGGTTTGTGCTTAAGATCCTCCTGCCTCAGTCTCTTGTGCTGCTGGGATTACAGGCACAAGTCACCTCAACCAGGTAGAACTTTCTATTCTTACAATCTATTGAATGTTTTGCCTTTTGGATGGAAGACTGCAATTTTCCTTCTATTAACTGAATGGCTGTCAAGAGCTAGACTCTGGGCTAGTCAGTTTATAGATTTCACTCCAATCCTCAGATCATCTTTTATGTCACAGATAAAAAGCAAATGATCAAATATCGGTAGACAAGCCCAGCAAACATCGCCAGTGATAAGCAGAACAAGAAATATTACTTCAAAAAGGAAACAGGTTTATAAGAAAATAGTTTAGTTTTTAACCTGCCTTTAATATGAAAAATGTCCAGGATTTCAGGAGCCAGCTATTGAACAGAAATGTTTTTATCTCAAAGGGTTTTGACTTTCAGGCCACAAGCTGAAGTATGCAATAATTAAAAACAAAAGAAAGAAAGGAAAAAAGTCTATCAAATAACTGGCCAATATTGTTCAAAATCATCTTCATAACAGATATAAAGGGCAGGCTGAAGCAGGAGGATTACAAGTTTGAGATCAGTATCTGCAACTTAGCAAGACCCTGTCTCAAGATTTAAAAAGGGCTGAGTATGGTCTGAGGTTGTGGCTCAGTGGTAGAGCACTTGCCTAGCATGTGTGAGGCACTGGGTTCGATTCTCAGCACCACATATAAAATAAAATAAAAGATTCATCAACAACTAAAAATATTATAAAAAATAAAAAGGGCTGAGTATGTAGGGTATGTAGCTCAGTGGTAAAGTGCTCCTGGGTTCATTCCTTAGTATCAAATAAAAAACAAAAACCTACTGGTGACAGAATTCTGAAGAGTGATTGTAAATGAGAAATGACAGAAGAGGCATCACAAGGGACCCATGTGGGATCTTGGCAAAGTTCTTAACATTGATCTAAGAAATTGTTAAGCACCAATGTAAAAAACATTTATGCGGAGGTGCAGAGGTCCAAGACCTGGAGCATTGGTGGTGAAAGATAGCTCTTTAAGTCTGCAATTTAAAAAATGTTCTCCAATAAAACTACATTGCAAAAATTGGGAAAGAAACAAAATGGAAAGAGTAAAACAAATTGACAGGAAGAGACTGAAGAATTTGTAATAGGAAAAGTACTAGATTGATGTATCATAAATGGAAAGAGGGAATTATTTTCTGAAGTGGAAGGGATTTAGAGATGCTGACAATACTTGGGAACCTGAAGAAAATTTAGATTGTCCAGAATTGATGCATTTCTTAATTCTCAAAAAGCTTGTAAAGAGGGGCTGGGGTTTTGGCTCAGTGGTGGAGTGCCTGCCCAGTGCATGCAAGGTCCTGGGTTCAATCTTCAACACCACATATAAATAAACAAAATAAAGGTATTGTATCAAATTACAACTAAAAAATAAATATAAAAAAAAGCTTGTAAAGAAAAAATGGTACCAAAAAAGATCTTTTTAAAAAATATTTATTTTTAAGATTTTTAGGTGGACACAATGTCTTTATTTTATTTTTATGTGGTGCTGAGAATCGAACCCAGTGACTCACGCATGCTAGACGAGCGTGCTACCCCAGCACCCCCCCCCAAAAAATCTTTACCTGACAATGAATCTGATGATAGCAAGCCAAAAAGAAAAGAGAAGCCACTGACAAACCAAGAGGCTTTGCCCGAGGTCTTGATCCTGAGCAAATAACTGGTCCCACAGACAGCAGTGGAGAACTGATGTTTCTCATGAAATGGAAAGATTCAGATGAGATAGCCCTGGTGCTGGCAAAAGAGGCAAATATGAAGTGTCCTCAAATTATAATTGCTTTTTTATTAAGAGAGACTAACTTGACATTCTTGTCCAGAAGATGAAGTTCAATAATTGTTTGTATTGTTTTTCATATGTGTAATACATAAAATATGGGTTTTGGTTTTTGCTTTACTAGTATGAAAAAATAACTACATTCTAATGAAAATCAAATTTGATATATTGGTTTTGAAAGTAGTATTGGGGTAGTTGTTGGGTTTTATTTTATTTTTTTTGTTTTGCATCAATAGCACTAGTTACTTTGAACAAAAAACTTTCTTTAGTCGCATCCTTTATCAGGAAAGAACATTTGATATGATGGTATATTTCCTATGCTTTTCTAAAAGTTGGGGAAATTTTCCATAGTCATTACTCAGAACTTGTTTTTAACTCATATGCTTAAGGACCATTTTGGGGTTTTTGTTTTTGTGTGTGCGTGCGTATACACATGCACATGCGTACATAAAATACTTACATAACGGATGGTTTTTATTTTTTAAAACATTCACCAAAACAAAAACCATGGGTGGTAAACCCATGTTCCTGAGATTCCATCATTCTGTGCAACCTAAGAAATAAGTCACTTCAAGTTAAATTGAAATTTTTCCTGAAACCATAACCCTTCAGGTTAAATAAATGATTCTATAGTTAACTGGATAGTTTAAATTGGATAATTAAAAGTAGCCACAAGGTGGGGCTGTGGGGATGGGAAGGATGGTAGAATGAGACAGACATTACTTTTACCCTAAATATGTATGATTACACTTACTGGTGTGACTCTGCAACACGTACAGCCAGAGGATTGAGAAGTTGTGCTCCATTTCTGTACAATGTGTCAAAATGCATTCTACTGTCATCTGTAACTAATTAGAACAAATTTTAAAAATCCAACTGTTATGTATTATTATAATGTGCCAATAAAAAAAGGAAAATAAATAAGCCAGGTGTGATGGCACAAGCCAGGCATGGTGGCATAAGCCAGGCATGGTGGCACTCGCCCGTAATCCTAGCAGCTCCAGAGGCTGAGTCAGGAGGATCTCAAGTTCAAAGCCAACCTTAACAAAGGTGAGGTGCTTAGTAACTCAGTGAGACCCTCTCTTTAAATAAATACAAAAAAATGGGCTGGGGATGTGGCTCAGTGGTTGAGTGCCCCCAGGTTCAATCCCTGGTACCAAAAAAATAGGAAGAACTAAATTAAACATTAAAAAAAGAAAAGAAAAAGCCACATTAAATCTACATCTATAGTAACATAAATGCAACAGTTTTATTTGCAAAATTCTTGAAAGGAAAAAATACTATTACTCAACAACTTGGGCACCCAGACAAGTAAACTAGACAAATCCTAGTTTGTCTTAATTACCAAGACTTAAGCAGACATTTTAAGGGTTCTTTTAATTAGCCATTCCTTTTTTAAAGTTGAAATCTGTGTAATAAAAGGTTATAATTCATGGAATGTCTTAGATTTGGCTCATGGAAACCTGATCAGATGATTAGAGATGCTGGCAATTTACAACCTGCTCACATAAATGAGTGACAAAATTTTTAATTTAAATTATTGACTTGCATATTTTTTCTCTATCCCAAATCATTCCTTACATGTAGGTAGGTTCAGTCTTTTCAGTATTTGGATTACTGGTTCAACACAAGCCAAGAAAATAACTTTGTAGTAATCAGAATGTTACCCAAATGTATATTATTTAGTTTATTGTAAGTACTACTGAACAATGGTCAATAAATATTCCTTTAAAAAATTTACGCAATTTACTATATATCTACTCATAAAAATTTTAAAAATTATTTTTTAAACATAGCTTTAACCGTGTTTTGATGGGAAAACAGAGCAATAAGATGTTTTAAACATTTCTGTGCAAGTGTAAATGTGTGCATTCACTTTGGTATATATTTTGCACCATTTGGTAAAGTGCAAAATATCGTTTGATGAAGCAATTCCTCTGGTGAACAAGCATGTGTGACCCTATGTAAAAGAATGTTAGTGGTAGTGTAACAAGGATTTAAACTCTTTACTTTTGCCTGCAAATATCCAATGGGTGGCTAAAAGTAGGATTAAAGACTTGGCATCTCTGTTTCGATTTCACATCCATCTCCTTTGCTTGTGGTAACCTTGGATCCAGGAACAGGGTCTGATCAATACATATATTGTGATGAATTGAAGTTAGCTCCCCTCCACGTGAAACAGTAACTCTCATATTTTAGATAAGGTTCTGCCTTGTCCTGGGATAATGATGGTCCAGACCATGTCTGGTCAAGACCACATGCTCTGTCAACTGTTGAAAGCCTCCAGTTATCTAACTCTCAAACCTTGCCCTTATTTACCTTTTTATAAAACGTCAAAGTCACTGTCAGCCCCTTAAAGACAGGGCAAAGGACACCGGTCCCCTTGTCTTCTCAGTGTAGCTACACTGATTAAAGTTGCTTTCATGATTTTCTCCATTACCTTTTCCTTTTGTTTTTTGGGGTGTGTGGCTAGACCTGAGTTGTTGGATTCCCAAGAGTCAAGCTTCTGGCCTAGAGTATGATAACAGCAGCATTATTTATAAAATAAAAAACTAGAAATAACTCAAATATCCTCCATTATTAGCAGGGATGAATAAGTGCAGTATATTTTAAAAAGAAAAAAGAAAAAAACTGAATGAACTATTGTATCTAATATGAAATATTCTTAAAAACATTTGAACAAATAAATAAATATAATAAAAGACAAAGGATTTCATGATTACATGCGTATTAAGTCCTAAAACTAGAGTATATTGCTTTAAGGTACCATTCAGTTCCAGGAAACCCACTCTCAAAACCACAGGCCACACACACCCAGAATCTCAAAAGGTCCTACAGGCACAACCGCACATTTACCAAGAAGAAGCTCAAAGTTACAACTGCGGTCACACACACGATTCACCTGTACCCTGGACACAGTCAAAATCCCACACTAACCACATGCACACACACAACTACAACCACACAGTCTGCATCTGTATTCCCACCTGTAACTTGCTGCACGTGCCCACAACGTCACACAATCATACACCACAGAGGAGACAACTCCGAAACGCCCAGCCAGTCACGAGCGCCCAGGATCCGCACACAATGCCGCGCGCGGTCCTAATGTCTCTCCCACACGCAGCAGGTTCTCCACTCCGTGTGACCATTAGACGGAAATACTCAACAGTCTGTTAAGACCACACGATCCTTCTTCAGAAACTACCACACACATTATAACAGCCACACAATTTCAACCTCAACTCCTCCGCGGCACAAAGACAAGCCTCGGCTCCAGCCCCGCCCTCCTCTGGAGATCCTCACCTCAGGCCTCCCAAGCTTTCCAGGCAGTAAAACACTCCACAGCACTGGATTAACTGCTGGTGAAGCCCCCAGGATCCCGCCAGCGCGTGACTTTAAGGCTGAATTCCCGCGAGAAGGAGGTCATGCCGAGTAGTGCTCTGGGAAACGCAGTTAGAAAGGTAACCAGAGGTGGACAAGGTGGTTCCGTGTTTCAGGATTCCTGTCAGCGATTAGCTGCGGCCACCAGAAAGGATTGCACACTTTATTGAAACACACTGCGAAGGCCTGAGTCCTGGATCAGCCTCCAACCCCGGCTCCCAAAGAAGGCCGCTCCAGTGCGTTTGACATGGTTTTACTTTCCGCCCCTTCCTTACTATTGGTAGGAACCGGAGAGCCTCAGGAAGAGGAGGGCAAGTTTGCCTAGGAAGGTAATTCTCACCGCTGAGCCTTCTGGGAAATGTAGTTCGGAGCAGGGCAGAGGCTGTGGGCGCACCATTCAAAAGTTACCTCAGGCTGGGCGAGTTATCCCAGCGGCTTGGGAGGCGGAGGCAGGAGGATCAAAATTCAGACCTCGCACCAGCAATTTAGCGAGGCGCTAAGCAACTCAGTGAGACCCTGTCTCTAAATAAAATACAAAATAGGGCTGGGGATGTGGCTTACCAGTCGAGTGGTCCTGAGTTCAATCCCCGATTTCCCCCCCCCCCCCCCCCCCCCCCCCAAAAAAAAGTCATCTCAAGAGATTAGCCTCTGCTTTGCCACTCCCTGGTGACTGATGCCTGGGAAGGCTAGTGGGCCTAGGGGGTACTCGGACACGGATTTCCTGGGGTGCAGTACTGTAATAGTGATCCCTTTTTTTAGGTGCAGGACAGGCTGAACTATGTTGTTTGCAAGGCAGGCTGAAGGAATGTTAGCTGCAGGATAACCCACGCACTCAAACCCCGCCCCGCTGTCTGGTCCTTTATCACCTGCTCAGGTCTGAACACCTAACCCCACTCAAGGCTGAACACTGGACCCTCACGCGTCTGGTGCAATGGAAACCCACATCTAGCCCCTGCCCCATCTGCCTAAACGCAGACATTACTGTGTGATCCAATCACTGTTGCCAATAAGGCAGCTTGCAGACCAAAACCCCATTAGATTTGGGCTATAAAAAACTCCCTCCTGCCGGGCCTTCTCTATTGCTCTTATCCCTTTGTCTCTCTCTCTTGCTCTTGCTCTCTCTTTCTTCTCTTGCTTTTGCTCTCCCTCTCACTCTCTCCTCTCCTCTCCTCTCCTCCTCCTCCTCCTCCTTCTCCTCCTCCTCCTCCTTCTCTCTCTCTCTCTCTCTCTCTCTCCTACCCCCCTCTTTCTTCTTTCCCCGCTCTTTCTTTCTCTCTCTTTTGCACTGTTGCAATAAAGATCTCTTGGTCGCTCTGAGTGTTGTGGTCACTTTCCTTTCACCTTCACCTTCTGAATATAGTCCTTCTTGCTCGAAGGCTTATTTTTTAAAAGAACTTTTTTTCTCTTTGTCTCTTCTCCCCTCCCTCTCCCCGTTCCTAACAAGATTAGGGAGACTCTTTTTCTTCCCCTGGTTAAGTGCCCTTGAACACACCCACTACAGGAAGGAAATGTCTGCTGAGAATCTGGGAAGTGAATATCTCCCAAATGAACAAGTGAATCCTAACACCATCAGGACTCCCTGGGACCCCCCCCCCCCCACCAGAGCACACCTGGAATGTAACCCTTAAAGACTTTCTTTAAACCCCCCCTGTTCCTCCTGATGGAGCCAATCATAGCCTTGGGGACAGGAGTCCCCCGTGTTTTCTCCTTCTCCTCCAATAAACCTTCTTTTTCCTTTTTCCCAAAATTGTGTCCTCATTATTAAATTGGCATTAATTGGCATTGGGGACAAGGACTGAGCTTTCAGTTACAGTATCTGTTCAGGGATAAATTTGGGTGGGCATTCTTCTGTGCAGAGGGATCGGAGGGTCTGAGGCTGGGAGACCCAAAGCTGGTCTGGGAGGTTGAGGGGGTGGAGAGCAGGAGCACTCGGTGACTGGGAAGGCTGAAATCATGGATTTGCTTAAACATGCGACAGATTCGGGGACACTATTGCAAAGGGGTCTCTTGTTATTCTGAGCTACTAACCTCTGATGAGGAGGATGAGGGGTCGGTGAGGTGGAGTTTGCAGCAAGCAAGGAGAGTCCATGGGTGTATGACTTAGGTGTTGGGGGTTTGTAGAGAGAAACTGCATTTAGAAATTGTGTGTGTGTGTGTGTGTGTGTAATCAATACTTTATAATTGTACCTATGACTGGGATTGTATTTTGGGGGTCATCTTTGAGCCTCATCTGTAAAACAATAATAAAGATAGATCATTCTAGAGCATCAGTTTTTCTTGAAGATTTGAAGGGAGAAAGATTGTAACTGAACTTGTAATGACTTAACACTTATGTAAAATTAGAAACACCTATTATGGAATAGAAGATGAAATCGCTCTTGGTTTCTTAAAAAAAGAAACTGATTTCAAAGAATTTTGTGGGAGAGAGTGTGCACACGCGCCCTCTACAGGTGGGTTCTTGCTCTTTAGAGCACAGGCCCAGAGTTCAATCTGGGTTGTTTTAGAGTGCTGTAGGATGTTTGGGACCAGGTGTAGGACTAAGGGATCTGATTTGGGAAGTCCTGGATTAAGAAACAACAACCTTCAAGATTGAAGAGTAGTGTTAACTGTTGCAATTAGCAGAGAGGTGAGTTAGGCCATGAAGAGACAACCATGAAAGAATTGCAAAGGGGTCCCTTGTTATTCTGAGCTACTAACCTCTTTTTGAAGGGTGGGAGACAAGAAGGATGAAGTTACTGTCAGGCCAGGTGTGTTTTGTTAGGTATGAAAATAAGTAGCTTCTAACTACAAAGATGTTCTCTTGAAATGTTCTGCTCTGGTTCTTTGACTATAATTTTAAATAGAAGGAGAAAATGAGGTAATTGATAGAAATTCATGTGATTATACGAACAAAACCATGGAGAAGTATAAAATGCTTAAGAATAACCTTATCAATATATAAAAAAATTAAATTAGAAAAAATTAAAACACTACTAAAGTACATGAAGACTTAAATGAAATCTATATAATATTTTTTTTAGTTATAAATGGGCACAATATCTTTATTTTGTTGATTTATTTTTATGTGGTGCTAAGGATCAAATCCAGTGCCTCACATATGTGAAGCAAGTGCTCTGTCACTGGGCCACAACCCCAGCCCTCTATATCATATTCTTTTTTAAAAAATATTTATTCTTAAGTTTTAGGCGGACACATATCTTTATTTTACATTTATGTGGTGCTGAGGATCGAACCCAGTGCCTTGTGCATTCTAGGCGAGCGCTCTACCACTGAGCCACAACCCCAGTCCAATATATCATATTCTTGAGTGGAAAACTTACCATCTTAAACATGTCATTTTAAATTAACTTATGAGTTTAACACAACCCCATTGAAAATAATGTATTTTTTAAGCAAAATTCAGAAATTCAAGGATGATATGTTGTCTTTCATATGTGAAGCTAGAAAGGAAAAAGGGAAAGAAAGCTGGTGGAGGGGTCTCATGAAAATAGAAGGGAGATCAGAAGAGTGGAGGAAAGGGACAAGGCAAAGGGAAGAGGGGAGGTAAAGGGGAAATACTAGGAAATTATATTGGCCAAATTATATTGTTATATTGTGTGCACATATGAATATGTAACAACAAATCTCACCATTATGTATAACTATAATGCACTAATTAAAAAATTGAAAAAGGAAAATAGTGTATTTTTCTAAATAAGAGCTATTCTAAAATTCCAGTTTAAAAACAAAACCAAGAACAGAGTAAATCAAGGGGATAGAAAGTAATGTGAGACAGTTGGGGTTAGTCTCCCCAAGTAACAAAACATACTCTAACCTTTCAAAAGTTAAAATAATATAGGGGGCTGGGTTTATACTCAGTGGTAGAGTACTTACCTAGCATGTGTGAGGCACTGGGTTCGATTCTTAGCACCACATATAATTAAAATAAAAGTCCATTGACAACTAAATATATATATAAAATACATGTATAATATATATAATATGGCACTGTCAACTAACTGAACAGAATGGGTCATCTCAAATCAGTTGGGAAAAGATGACTTTTCAATGAAGGTTCTGAGGTCAATTTATTAATCTTTCTGGGGGAAAATAATGGGCTTTAAAGGTTCAACTCCAAATAGGACAAAATTTATAACTAAAAGAAAAAAATTATAAGGGGTGAAAGATGGGAAACTGACTTTATGACCATGTAATGGAGAAAACCTAACTTCAAAATGTGAAACCTGGGCTGGGGCTGTAGCTCAGTGGCAGAGCACTTGCCTAGTATGTGTGAGGTATTGAGATTCTCAGCAACACATATAAATAAATTAATTAAATAAAGGTCCATCAACAACAACAAAAAATTTTAAAAAATATAATACCTGAACATAAGAGATTGATCATCCCTTTCATGTGAAAATTTTTTAAAAATTACAAACTGGCTGTAATCCCAGAGACTCAGGAGGCCACGGCAGGAGGATCTGAGTTCAAATTAGCCTTAGCAATGGTGAGGCCCTAAACAACTCCGTGAGACCCTGTCTCTAAATAAAATACAAAATAGGGCTTGGGATGTGGCTCAGTGGTCAAATACCCCTGAGTTAATCCCCAGTACCCAAAAAAAGAAAACAAATTACAAGCTGGAAAAATAATTGTATTTTATATTATAAACACTCCCTAATATGTAAGAAGCACCAAAATACTGGATATTTTTAAAAGACTAATAATCCAATTAAAAAAGATAAGGAAAAAAAAAATTCACAAAACTGGGTCTCTGAGTTGATAACTATGAGAGATATTGGGACCATAACTCTACAGAGAGATAGTTTTTTAGCTACTTAGAATGGCAATAAATAAATACAATCCAAAAAAATTGAAAACTTGTAATGCTAGAGAGACTGCAGGCTGGTACAATCTCTTTGAAAGCCTTTTCTCTTTGTGTGTGTCCATTTTCCCTCTAATTTTTTGGGTGGCTTGCTGAGTCTTCTCTGCATTTAATTACTAATTTTTCCCCACTCTCTCATATTCCATTTTGGAGTCAGCATGGGAACCAGAAAGTGCTCAGGATACAACAGAAGCCTGAGTGAGTGAAAAGAGAGTTACGTTGGCATGGTGATACACATCTGTAATTCCATTACTTGGGAGGTTAAAGAAGGAGGATCCCAAGTTCAAGGCCAACCTGGAGAAATTAGTAAGACCCTATCTCAAAATCAAAAGTGCTCATTGGTGGAGTGCCCCCAGGGCTCCATTCCTAGTACCAAAAATAAATAAATAAATAAATAAATAAAT